GAGTTATAACGAATAAGTTATGGCCCGTCGAAGTTTTACGGCAAAACCGGCACGACACCGGGAAGCGTAAATAGTGAATTTACGATGGAGCGACTTTTAGCCTTAGTGATCTAAACAAAAGTCGTAGAAAACGTTAAACCGAGAGCGTCCATAAGAAGAACGCCCAAATCTGACTTCGTATGAGGAAGTTATGATTTTTCGAAGTTTCGGCTTAGCAGTGTACAGCCCGAAACTCGAATTTTAGTTCGAGCGGTTTTTGGCTTACGCGATCTAAATGAGAGTTGAAGATCTCATTAATAGGAACTCAACAGTAAAAAGACAGACAAAAACGGAGCTCGTATGCGAAAGTTATGGACGAAGCTTAGTCTCTACTTTTCGAGCGCGGCGAATTCGATACAGTTTTGTAAATCCGAGATAGAATGAGAATTAGCCAACGAGGTCTAAATGAGAGTTGAAGATCTCATTAATAGGAACTCAACGGTAAAAAGACAGACAAAAACGGAGCTCGTATGCGAAAGTTACGGACGAAGCTTGGAGACTACTTTACTATACAATTCCTATAAATAAGAGATGAACTCTTCATAATTTCCTCACACCTTCAAACCTTTCTTTCTCTCTCTAACTTCTCTCTAACCTCCCTAAACCCCTCCCAAGTCTAGGGAACCTCCCTAGCACAAGAAGAAAGCCCCGGAGCGCCCGACGGCTCCGAGAAGAAAAGCTTTCGGCTCGGAAACGCTGCTCCAGCGAAGCCCGGTTTTTAATAAAAACTCGCTGTTTTGTCGAAGGAAATTGTTTTAAGAGTAACGAAGCGCTGTCTGAGTTTGGAATCATCACTTTAACAGGTGAGTGCATGGTCCCTTTCATCTTACACATAGATATGAAGTATTTTATATAAATTACGTGCTATGTGTGCATATTATCTGAATACTTGCTGTCTATGATGGATGAATGATTTTATACATGTTTTAAATGATTTAAATATATATTTATTTCATATCTACAAATACGTTGGGATAAAACATGGGTAGATGAAATAGTTGGTGTGTGATGAAATAAAATGATGAGAGATAGGTGATGATAGGAAGGTGATGATAATTAGGTGATGGATAGGTGATGATGAATCGGTGATGTAGGATGAAAGATACTATAACCTTGTCCGACAATTTGGAGATGTAGTCATCTACTAGAGTATAGATGGCGACCACGGAATATTCTAGACAACCCGTGGAAACACCAGCAGACTTATAACCTGTAGGTGATGAATTACGAGTCCAGGTGATGTGGTGACTGTATATTCATGCGATGATACTCTAACCCTTACTATGAATTACGAGTTCAGGAGACGTTGTAACTACGTATTCATGCCTTAGGAACGAGCATATAAGGAAATGTGAGGTAGAAAGATGAGAGGTAAATATGATATAGGAAATGACCCTTAAGATAATTCTTTAAGGAATATTAAAGAAGATAACGGGGATGGGTAATCGGGTTGATTGTTTGATGTTTAAATATAATAATTATATTATTGTGGGTTGAAAACCCTATGTACTCACCAGGTTTCCCAACCTGACCCACTCCAGCTTATTTGTATCACAGGTGTCGATACGAAGCTACTTTGCACTGAGAGATTTAAAAGAGATGTAGATCACTAGTGTAAATGAATGTAAGTTCTGTTTATGCTTATGTTTCTGTATTGACGATGACATCCCAAATGTTTTAACTGAATAAAAATACATTTCTTCGGAAATGCTTTGATAACGTATTTTTCATGTTTTACTGGGAACAAATTCCGCAACATTTTTATTAAAAGAAGTACTCTGATTTTTATAAAGCATAAACAAAAATCGGTCTTTTTTGGCCGTGAAAATGGGGATGTCACAGCATGCGTGTTAGACTTCGGAGGTAGTTGGGATACCTACCTTCCATTGGCAGAGTTCTCCTACAACAATAGTTATCATGCGATCATTGACCGCCCTCCCTTCGTGATGTTGTATGGGAGGAAGTGCAGGACCCCGATATGTTGGGGCGAGGTTGGCCAGAGAGTAATGAGGAGCACTGAAGTAGTGCTCAAGACGACAGAGAGGATTCAGCAGGTCCGAAGCAGGCTCCAGACTGCTCAGAGTCGGCAAAAAAGTTATGCCGATAAGCGCCGATCAGACCTGGAGTTCCAGGTCGGGGATATGGTTCTCCTGAAGGTGTCGCCATGGAAGGGCGTTATCCGGTTCAGGAAGCGGGGCAAGTTTGGCCCCAGGTACATTGGACCGTTCAGGGTTATAGCCCGGGTGGGAAAGGTGGCGTATAGGCTGGATCTGCCAGCCGAACTCAGTCAGATCCACAACACTTTCCACGTTTCCCAGCTGCGAAAGTGCCTGGTGGACGACTCAGCAGTGGTGCCCTTGGAGGACATTCAGGTTGATGGCAGCCTGAATTACATCGAGCGACCTGTGGCGATCCTTGACCGGAAGTCGAAGGATCTGAGGAACAAGAGGGTGGAGCTCGTGAAGGTGCAATGGCAGCACCGGAAGGGCTCGGAATGGACTTAGGAGCCGGTGGACGAGATGATGGAGCATTACCCAGAGCTGCTTCAGGAACAAGCAGCAGACTTCGAGGACGAAGTCTAAAATAAGTAGGGGAGAATTGTAGCACCTGGTTCTTGGTACGTATTTCTTTTTATTTTTATCTAAGTGTTTTGCATTTTTGGCATTGGAATCGGCGAGTTGAAGGACCAACTCGCCGAGTAGAAGCGGGACGGGACGCGGGATTTAAGTGATGAACTCGGCGAGTCGGGTCCCGGACTCGACGAGTAGGCCCTGGCTGGACAACAACCCTAATATGAGGGTTTGCATCCTATTTAACCATCTCTTTCAGCCACCACTCGTCCCATTTGCTCCCAGAAGACCCCCATAGCAAACCCTAATCGTGTGAGTGAAGATCTAAGGCCTTTTGAGTGATTTTGGTGCTTTTGTGATCTAAGAAAGGAAGGAAAAGCTTGAAGAAATAAGAAGATGCTAGAGGGATCCGAGTTTGAGCATCTTCCACAGTGCATTTGAGGTATAAAAGCTTATACCTTGCTCATTATTATTATAGATCTATTCTTGAAAGGAAGTTAGGGCTTCTAAGAGCCATTTTGGCAACCAACCATGATTGCAAGCATGGTTGAGGGCTAGGGTTTCGGATCCAGGGTTCTTGAGGGACCCTAAGGCAGAAAGCAACTGTTTTAGAACCCATGGAAAGCCTCATGCATGTTGGGAGTTCCTTTTTGAGCCATTTGGGCTCATTCTTCCATGCATGCATGTAAAGTTTGTAACTTTACGTGCTAGATCGAACCTAGGGGCTTGGATCTATCTTTTGGTCAAAGGTTGTACATCAGAAATCGAGGATTTAGGGTGTGGACGTTATCGACTCGGCGAGTCCGTTCTTGGGACTCGACGAGTCCAAGGCATAAAGTCTCATATCTGTTGAGGGTCTAAAGAACTCAGTTGGGTGTTAGAAGGACTGTAGAAGGTCAGAAGGAGCGACCCAACGCATTGGACTTAGCCTTAGACCTGGAGTTCATGGGACTCGGCGAGTGCTAGAACAGACTCGGCGAGTCCAAGGCAATCTCCTTATGATTGAAGATGAACTCGACGAGTTGTTCATACAACTCGGCGAGTCGAGGTCAGGACTTGTTCATCTGATGAAGGTGAACTCAACAAGTTGTTCATACAACTCGGCGAGTCGGATGAAGGATCATTCAATGTTCATATAGAAGAGGAACTCGTCGAGTCATCGCCAAACTCGACGAGTCGAGTCATGGATGAGGTCGTGTAAAGGGTTAGGGACTCGACGAGTTGACGGCCCAACTCGGCGAGTCGGGTCAACTTGAAGTTGACTTTGACTTGGACTTGATTGGGGGTAAAATAGTCATTTTACCCTAAGAGTAGATGTCAGTTTCTGACTGAGTGTTTTGTGGGGATTGTAGCCGGAGGATTTCCGGAGCAGCAAGCAGACAGAGACTTCCCACACGGATTATCAGCAGCTACTTGTTCGAGGTGAGTTACCTTCCAGTAACGGTGGGTCTACGGCCACAATGCCGGCCCACCAGTAGGAGTTGTATGTTAGATGATTGTCTTTGTGATATCATTTAGGTTTGCTACTACCTGATATGTTATATGCTGGCATGATATGTTATATGCGATAGTAGTAGAGTTCAGTTGTTATGACCGAAGGGTAGGCCAGACACCCCAGATATGTCTGACAGTATGTGATTATATGTTTATATGCTGACATGATATGTTATATGTGATAGCGGTAGTAGGAGGGGAATAGTGCCCAAGTTTGGTTGTTAGGACCGAAGGGTAGTTCGGACACCCCAGATATGTCTGATAGTATGTTATGTTATGATATATGTGATAGTAGCAGTAGGGGGTGGAATAGTCCCCGAGGGTCGGTTGTTAGGACCGACGGGTAGGTCAGCACCCCAGAATGGCTTGACATGGGTAGGTCAGCACCCCAGAATGGCTTGACACGGGTAGGACGACACCCCAGAATGGCCGTACGGGTAGGTCGGCACCCCAGAACGGCCGTACCGGGTAGGTCGGGCACCCCAGAATTGCCCGACAGTATATATGCTATGTGATTGTATGGTATGTTGTACGATGAGGAAACTCACTAAGCTTCGTGCTTACAGTTTACAATTTTGGTTTCAGGTACCTCTTCAGCGAAGGGGAAGGAGCTGGCGCGGTAGCGGCACATCATACACACACATGTTGGTTTTCCGCACTAGAATTTCTTGGGATTGTACTCTGACATTAATTTCTGCTTTTGTGAATGGTTTTCAGACATGAGTTGTGGTTTTTATGAAAAGTTATGATTAGATGGTGTTTTTCTTATAAATGTTTTTACAAGTCAATTAATTAAAAATAAAATTTTTGGACTTTAAAATTGGGTCGTTACACAAATGCATACTACCAACATGATTCTAATTGTATTTGCACAAGGTGATAATCCAAAGGTCCAAACAAATGTAGCCTCACATAGTGTTTTGTATGACATCTTTTGGAACATGATGATCCAAAGGTCCAAACAAATGTAGCCTCACATAGTGTATTGTATGACATACCGTGTTTGAACATGATAATCCAAAGGTCCAAACACTAATTCGATCAACAGTATATAACAATAATAAGAACAAAAAAAATCTACGTGAGGGTTTTTGGCTTTGGTGCTTCAATGTCTTGTTGAAGCACATAAGGTGAAGCTCCAATAAATTTGTTTTGTTGTGATTGTGATTGTGATTGTGAAGTAAATCTTAACCTAAGAAGCAATGAATTAGTCATCACACCAATCGAGCTCAAACCCATGAGGGCCCCAGCAATTGAGGGAGTAAGCATCACCCCTGTCAATGGCAATAAAGTTCCCGCAGCAATTGGAATGCCAACCTAAAAAAGTTCATAATCATATTAGGGCCAAATACTACTTCACATTTTATCTTTTAGGGTGATTAAAATAAACCATTATACTTTTTTTAACGAGTAATTTATGTTTTTGGTCCCTGAGATAGCTGGTTTTTGCAATTTTGCTCCCAAATATATAGTCATTTTACTTGGAACATGAACCAAAACGTTACAAAAACCTCAAATAAGGACCAATATTGTAAAAGGAAACTTTTGGGGACCAAATTTGAAAAATCAGCTCTAGTCAAGGACCAAAAAGGTTAATTATTCTTTTCTTACGGTCAAAAAATAATTCTGGGTATTTAGTTTGAATAAAAAACAAAAAAGAGGGATAGAATTTGCAATGAATAAACTATAACTTACAATATTGTACCCAAAAGCCCACCAAAGATTTTGCTTCACAGTCTTCATTGTTTGTCTACTAAGCTCCAATGCATCAATCAACTGCAAAATTAAGGGGCATTTACGTCATTTGCCATGCTATGCTATTTTTAACCAACAAAAGTAAAAAACCTTTACCTGTGATATTTTGTTACCCATGAGCACAATCGAGGCGACCTCACTAGCAGCCCCAACACCACCACCTATGGCAACTCCAACATGTGATTCCGCCAATGCGGCGGCATCATTGATTCCGTCCCCAACCATGGAAACAACATTCCGGTTGTCCTTCTGGAGTTGACTTATAAACTTACTTTTCTCATCCGGTTTAACTCCATACAACACCTATTCATGAAATAATATTATCATGATTTTTTTTTTAAATTGATTAAAAATTGTTGTGTTATTATTATTGTTATTTATTACCTGTTGTTTAGGGATTCCGACGACTGATGCGACATATTGAGCTGAACTTTTTTTATCACCAGAAAGTAAGTATACATTGATGCCTTGACTAGTCAAAGATTGAATAACATGTGCAGCATCTTCTCTTATTTGATCTTCAACATAAATAAGACCTGCAAGAACACCATCTATTCCTACATACACCACTGATTGGTTTTTGAACTCTTCTGTTTCCACAAATGGGTTTTCATCAACTCCATGCCTGTCATATCACAAATAGCAACCTACTTTCATCATTTCTTCCTATTATTTACAGCATAATATTTCCATTTTTTTTTTCTTATTATACCTTCTAACCCATTCCAATGTTCCAACAGAAACTATCTTCTTCCCAATTGAGGCTACTGCACCAGAACCAGGTTCCTCCATATATGTTCCATCATCAGCCTGCATACCATTCACAAATTAATCAATCACATTTAAAAAAGAAAAAATAGTGATTTAATTTCAGTAAGGGCAAAACAGTAATTTTGATAAGGTACCTTTACATCGGGACATTTAGCAACCTTAGCAGCTTCCCGGATAGCTTTTCCAATTGGATGTATTGTATTGGATTCAACAGCAGCAGCTAACTTCAGAACATCATTTTCAGACCATGTTTCTGTTGAACTTAGCCTGCACTATAGTTGTTTATATTAAACTTAACTGTAAAATTATAGAAGCTAAAAGATTAGAACTTAACTGTAACTCGGAATATTCTTGGGGTGTTTTTGTGAGTATTTTTGTGACAACAGGTTTACCGATTGTTAATGTCCCTGTTTTGTCAAAAACAATTGTGTTGACTTGAGAGAATTTTTCTAAAATACTTCCACCACGTAAAAGTAATCCTCTTGTAGCACCAAGTGAAGTTCCCACCTACACAATATATATAAATATCGAGGGTATTATGGTCTTTTAAAAAAAGAAAGGAAATATATCGGACAAAAGGGTTTACCAGCACAGCAGTTGGTGTTGCTAAACCCAATGCACATGGACAAGCAACAACCTGCATACAGTTACAGACAACACAAGTTAAGTTGGAGTTGGACTTCCATTAAATGATTATTATAGAATTTAAAACAAAGCAAATTTTTATTTTTAAACTAATAGAAGGATAATAATAAATACCAAAACACTACAAGAGAGCTGCAAAGCTAATGACATGGCACTTCCATGGTGAAGAGTGGCTGGTAAAATACGCGCACCAAAAGTGCTCCAGAACATAAATGTTGCAGCAGAGATTGCCATTACACCATAAGTAAAGTGTCCAGCAACCTATTAATATTTAATATAAAGAGATTGTTATTTATGAATATGATAACATAAATGAAAATTACGAAAATGACCTTGTCAGCAAGACGTTGAACGGGAGCCTCTCTACTCTGAGCTTCTTCCACCAATCTAACAATGTCCCCCATGAATGTTTCACCTCCAGGCCTTTGTACTTCAACTGTTAGTGCTCCATTAAGGTTTATACTTCCTGCTGACACTTCAGCCTAAAAAACACACATCAAATCATTCAAAATCACTATTATTATTATTATTATTATTATTATTATTATTATTATTATTATTATATGTTCTTTGAGGATGAAACTATCATTACCCCTGGAAGCTTAGTGACAGGGAGTGGCTCCCCAGTGAAACTTGACTCATCCACTGTGCTTCTGCCAGCTGTCACTATTCCATCAGCAGGAACACGATCCTGAATAATAATAATAAACATAACATTTTGTAAATGAATAACAGTATTTTATATTACAGAAATTAATAACTTTTTACTTACTCCAGGTAGTACAACAATTTTATCTCCAACAGAAAGACTGTCACAAGGAACATCGACTGTTGAGGTTGACTTTTCAACATCATCACCATCCACTAAAAGGCGAGCTTTTGGTGGAAGAACATTAAGAAGCCCTGTCATATCACTAGTTGCCTTAATCTTAGCTCTTTGTTCAAGATTCCTTCCCAATAAAACAAATGCTATCAACATAATCGGTTCTTCAAAGAATACTTTCCAACCCTATACAAAAAAATAAATCAAGATTCATGTTTTCAAGAAATGTAAAGACCTGATTTTTTTTTTAACACAGTGATAGTGATAGTGATTACCAGTTTTGGTATTAGAGCTGCGAATGAGCTAACGGTAAATGACGAGATTGCCCCTAGACCGACTAATGTGTTCATGTTTGGAGTGCCCCTCATTAGACTTTTCATACCATCAATTATAAGCTGGCGTCCTGGAACTAGTAATGTGAATAAAGATAAAGATAAGTGGAAACCAGTGGAATGCATTGCATGGATCCACCAAGCTTTGGCTCCAATGAAATGGGAGACATGTCCAAACAGACATACAGCACATAAAGCCCAAGATACTGCAAGTCCTCTACCTGTTAATAGAAAAATATTTAATCCAAAACATTTAGAGATGATCTTTTATCCTAAATGATTAAAAATTACAATGAGGGTGCTATCTAAGAACATACCACTTTCTTTTAATTGCTTCCGCTTTTCTTCCACCTTTTTTTGAAATACTTGGAAGGCACTCTCTTTCTTGGAATCTGCAAATAGTAGGCAAAAAAGGATAGTTAAAGAACCATTGCATGTCATCCATTGATAACAGGGGTAAAATCATCATTATCACATATTACACAAGACTTTTAGCTTTGGTTGAGACCAAAAAGGTATACAATTGTCTGCTTGATGAAAGTAAAACACAACGTAATTGTCAAAGAAACGAATCACAAACATGTAATGCAGAAATGATGCTAATTAGGATTTAACTTTAAAGGATTAGAAGCTAATTTCATGAGAGTATGAAAACAGAAGGAGGGAGAGTGAGAATTCCTTAGATTTTGGGCAGAGCACTCCTGTAATTTTGGAGCAAACATTTCAATTCAATGCTCTAACAATTCACCAAACAAGAATATAACAAAACCAATGCTAAGATAAGATATGATCTATTATATATGAGAACATCAAAATTTTGTAGCACCACAAGGAGACAAATGGTAATTGGTATATCTTATTTCAAGCTAGAAAAAGTGATACAATTCGATGACCATAAAACAATGATCACCATGTGGTACAAATGTGCAATAACACTTTTGAAGAAGTGAGATTTTCTAGTTTCTACTACATAAAATGAAGAAAAAAAAAAAAAAAATGAGGAAATCTGACTAAGTAAACCATCCAAAATGTAAGGGTGCTCCTGCAGTAGATTTTCCTCCTTGCAAACAAGACTCGCCTATGGACAGAAAAACTAAATTAAAATTGACTCAGAAATTGAACTACCTTTTCAAAGATAGATTTTTGAAATTTTCTTATGAAGGAAACTTATTGAAAATATTAAAAAGTCTAGGTGACAAGGACATACCACGGAGGAAAATAGTTGCTCTTACAAGAATCCTTTGCATTATTAAGATGGCACTCCTTCAGTTTCAGCCTCACCTGCCAGTTACCCACCATTTGTCAAAAATTTCAACTATATAATTAAATTGTCAATTGGGGTTAAAATGTTTGAATGTAATGGTTCTAGCTATGAAAAAAATCCATTTTTTTCCCACTGAAACTAATGTGATCACTCTAACGACAATGCAAAGATTCTTGTAAGACAACCAAGCCCAAATGGATCCCTGTAGCCTTAAACTTGACCAAAAACAAAAAAGGGAAAAACAAAAACAAGCAAAAGAGAAATAAGGGGGGAAAAGGCAAGAAAGGTATAAAGCATCATTGTAAGCATAAAATTCTGCATATACTTTTGAACCAATTCCTAATTCCTAATTCCTGAAGGGATACAAAATATGTAATACCACAATGAATTTAAAAGTTACAGTGAAGAAGATACTGACCTCTAAGGTTAGACTTAAATCCACAAGTTGTCAAATGTTTTGCAAGTTCTTCTCCCAAGACTTTTTGCCAGTTTGGTGAATCCTTGGCTTCAGATACAGGCCATACAATTGCTGTCTCTGTTGTAAGATTCACACTTGCAGAAGATACCAATGGCTGTGAAAATATGAAGTATTTTTAAGCACACAAATAAAAAATCATAAGCATGAAAGGCATGTAGAACAGTAAAAGTGCTTACTTGACTCTCCAAAATTCTTTTTACACTTGCAGCACACCCTCCACAGGTCATACCCTGACAGAGAAGATGCCTTATCAATTATCATGATCAATAACAACAGTAAGCAAAACGAATGCTAAAGGGATAATAAATGCTTACAAAAACATCTAGAATGATCACATCAGACGAAACACCAGAAGCATCAGTAACGATCGGATTCACCTTAACCTCCCCACCATCACCACCTCCGCCGCCGCCTCCTCCTTCACTATGCGTACCTCCTCCAATTCCCCCACCGCCGGAAAGTGAGGCGAAAGAACTAGCAGAGGTAGAGCTCGAAACACACTCCACACGATACCTCAACAAAGGCACTCCACCGCCAACATTCCTCAAGCCAAACAACGGGTATGCAGAAGCAAACTTACTCGATGATCTCCGGAACTCAGACTTGGTGGCAATTGTAGTCCGTCGAATATGGAAAAGTGCGAGCTGACTTCTGAGCGTTTGAGCACCGGTAACAGAGTGATTTAGGGTTTTGGATAAACCGAATACAGCGGTGGCTGTAGTCGCTGACAATGTTGACTCCATTGGTTCGATCTTGGTTGGATTGAGGGAAGAATCAAAGAGTAACGAGCATCTCTTGTACACACCTACCACAGGGTCTTTGAAAACCCTAGCAATTTAGTAATTACTGCAACGTTATCTGCTGCAACTAATTTTATTCAAATTGATAAGAACCTTGAATTCAGAGCAATCTCAAACAGGCTGGATGCAATATATATAGTAGTAGTAATTGTACAAGTTTGATCCATGTTTTACACGTGTCCTTTTTAAATTTTGTATATCACAACCCACCTACCACGCTCAGTGGATCCAAACACAAGCGAAGCAGTTAAGCAAGACTTCCCATTGATTAAACGGTTTGTTGTCGATGGTTAGGTTTCCGTTTGAAAGACAACACAAAAATTGAATATGAAAATTATATTTTATTTATAGGAAGTTAAAAACTATAGATATTAAAATACTTTCTAATAAATATATTACTATCAAATAAATAGGTATTAAAATTGAAAAGAAAAACACTACCAATCCTATCTTTACCATGTGTATTGGTCATAAGATTCATTGCTAGCCGATTTTTTTTTCTAACTTATTAAGATTTTTATATTTTATGTTATAGGTAATCGATTGTAAACTATTTTCTTTTTAAATATTATTTTTTCACTTACACACTAAATTCTACTCATTAATTATTAAAATATTTTTTATACTTTTATTATTTATCATCAAACCAATTAAACTTATAATGACTTCAAGTTCTATAATAAAATTGATCTTTACAAAACAATAAAAATGACAATTTACTTCCATTGACATACGACCATAAGGTTTTTTTTTTTTATGATATTTCCTGAATATCTAATAATTATAACATAAAATGGTAATGATATGTTCATATGCTTAAAATACTAGACTACATGCATGTGTGGAAAAAAATGAAAGTTGCATAGTTTTTAATAGTAAAAAAGTGTTTGATAAAAATAGTTGTAGGTTTTTTAAGATATATAACTACATAATAGGAAATTTGAATAGAAATAAATTTGAATAAAAATTTAAATTGAAACATAGAACCTAAAAATGAAAGCTTTCTGATTAGATCCAAGGGTCTACCCACCGTTCACTTTTTATTCAGCATCATCTCATTTTTCCTTCGGTATCATTTCACTTTTCAAAACCCAGTAAATTGTCACATTTCGCTTCACTTTATTTTTTATTTTATTTTAAAATATATTTTATACAAATATTATATTTTTTTGTAGGGAATGAAAAACCAAAAATAACCATAATTAATCATTTTCTTTCTCTCTTTGTCCCTCTCAACATTTTAATTATTTAAAAATCTATTTTTTATTCAAATAATTAATAAGGAATATAATGATGTGGAGTGACGACTATACCAAGCTTATGTAGTAGTAGTATGATGATGAGATAACAGTGACATGACACTCAACCAGATAGTTTTAGACAAAATATGGTAGAAAGGTATTACGGTGTGGTGTGTTGATGTAAAGTAGGATGAGATGATGGGAGGCAGAGGAAGAGCATGATCTTTTATCAATTAACATATCTTATTTAAGAAAAAAAATAATCAAAATTCATCAAATACACACGAATGATTATCCAATTACTAGAACTTCATAGAATAAAAAACACATCCAAGCACAATCTCATACACCGATCTTATTGCACCTAATCGTCTTATTCTAAACATTAAAAATATTACATTTTCACTATCAATACACACTACCCCAGCTACAAAGAATCCATACATATTCATATTATTTCGTTTATAAGAAACTAAAGCAAGGAAAATAAATTTGTATCAATTCATTTATTATGATAGTCGTGATAAATGAGTCCACCCCCACAAAATTTAAAACTAAAGTCAAAAGATTTAAAAAGAACCAATAAGAAATTCTATTGTTATAATCACTAAAAAACATATCAAATCATGTTTACTTTATGGCGATGAAAAAAAAAATCTACATGCATTAAAAAAAATTACAATTTAACTAGAATCATATATTTCCTTTTTGAACATTTGAGTCGTAATCATAAATAACAATGAGTTAAATTACAACTTCTCATCAGATTCCATCGGAATGAAAAAAAATAAATACAGGAATAAAATTCCTTCAAGAATGGTCTTTTTCCATTCCATCATGCAAAACAAACAACTACTTTTTTATTCCAATGGAATAACCCATTCCATTCTGCAAAACAAAGAATGGAATCAACCATTCCGTTCCTTTCCCAATTCCATCATACTAAAGCTTATTTTTTGGCCTTGATGGTTCCATCGACCATCTCGGAGGAATAATTTTATAATCTTCCACTGGTTTCTTCTCTTTCTCCACCTCATCATTTTCCAATACGTCTTTTGGAAACGCATTCGGATTGGTCTTAATACACCTTTGTAATGCCACAAACGGAATCACACAATCCGACCCTTTCTCTTCAGCCGTGCTCTTCAAAAAACATAAAAAGGCATCCGAAAACTGGGACCCACATGGCCCACTCCTAAGGTTTTGAATACAAGGGCATTCTAGTGCTTTTTGAGCTTTGGCTTCTATAGACAAAGTTTCATCCTCATTCCCAAATGCCGCGGCTTCCGCAAGTAATGATTCCATTGAAGGGGGAGAAGATGATTCCGATTCCGATCCTGATTCCGGTTCTGATTCCTCCCTTTTTGGATTGTGTTTGGGGGAATCAATGGACTTGCTTTGATCTTGGCCCATTTTGTATTAGCGTAGAGAAAAAAACTGAAAATTAGAGATATGTCTTGGTAAACTATATTAGGGTGTTTCTTTTTTACTTAATACAGAAGGAACGACCTAACAAAGGGGAATGAGATTTCCCCTTTTAAAATTCCTAACTTCTTACAAATTTACCTTCATTTATTTTTTACTTCCATTTCCACAATTGTGTATTTATTTTCTCAATAATATTTTTAAATATTATTAAGCCCCGTTTGGTAAAAATAAGCTAGCTTATTGTAATTTAAAACCACAAAAATAGCTTAATTTAGCTTATGAACTAGCTTTTGAGAAACTACTTTGAGATAGCTTTTGATAAGCTTATGATGCTTTTTCAAAAATATTCCAAATATGCCCTTAATTATATCTATTCTTTTTTCTTTTAAATATATATATCTAAATGTCCATTTAAGTCATTTTACATTTCAATCTAGCTCATAAGCTACTTTTTACCAAATACTATTAATTCATAAGCTAGTTTATCAGCTACCAACTAGCTTTTCAGCTAATGCGCCAAACATGGCCTTAATGGGAAGATAATAGAAACATGCCTAATGTCCATATCACTTGTCACCACTTCCTTGTAAGCATGCGTGATATGAAAAGATTCAAATGATTGTTCAAAGTCCAACGAGATAGCTAATAGAAATCAAACAACAGTATCATTTTTCTGAAGAAAAAAAACAACAATTGTGTGGGTTTTGAAGTTTGATCCACTAAAAAAGCAAAAGTCCTCCTTATATGGATTAAAATCTTTCAAATCTTTGATTTTAAAGCATATCTAAGCCCATTTCAAAATATAACACTGCAATCCGCTGTTTATGTTCTACATCGTGTAAATTAAAGATGACTTTGTTGATGCAAAAGACAAAAGAAATCTCTTACTTTGTTAGTCTAATATACGAACACACAAGTTCTGTAACTTGGTAAACTGTTTTGTTTAAGTTGTGTTTGTAGATATCTCAAAAACACATAAAATATTTTTAGTCAACTCTATCGTTTTCATGATTTGTAACTAATCTTTTAAGTTCTTACCAAATATAATCTAACAGTTATATTGCATTCGGATCTAGCATGTATATTGATTTACAACTTTTTGGAAACAAGATCTAAATCAATTTCACAGGTATTCCGTTGGACATAAAAGTTTTCTTTTCTTATTTTCTTTCCGAGCGAAGGGATCAGTGATCGAGACCCAGAAAGATCGAGAGCGACAGAGGGAAGAAGGAATACCTGTTTCTTGACGGCGGATTCTGGAAGTTGTATCGATGAGAAAATCCGAACCTTGGAGAAAATAATACCAAAAAAGCTGGGGGATTCGGGATTGTGCAGGGAGGAAGGGTTTTAGGGATTTAGGGATTTGTGGTTATACGTTTTTTCATAATACGTAGAAAAAAGTTGTATATATACGTTTTGTATTTAATCTTTTGAGTAAATTCCAAATTTGGTCCTCGTTGTTATGTGGTTTTTAAATCAACTTAGTGTAACCCTGATATATTCTTTTGTCAAATATCTAAGGAACATCTATTTTGTTGTTAAACTAATACAAAAGTACCTTTATGCTCTTCTTGTTATATCAATTGTATTATGTAGGTCCTATTCACCCTTCACCTTGTGTATGGTTCATATAGTAACCAGGGACGGTTTTAAGGGGTTCCCGGTGTGGCACCGACAACCCCTAACTTTTCTGACCGCAGTGGAAAAATTTTCGATATTTGATTTTTTTTTACCTATTTTTCATGTATCGGCAACAACTATTCATCCCGGCAACACCTACTATGTATTCCTGCGTCCGTCCCTGATAGTAACTCAATCTCTTCAAAAGTTCAAACAAATCTAATGTAACTAAATAATACATAGGGGTTTAAAGATAACATACTTGCAACATTTGATTTACTTGTTCTAGCCAGCATAGCGGATGTATAGAATGCAAATTAGATTTCTTTTTCGTAGTCGCACCCAATGAGCATGAAAATAATTACTTGATAGATCCCTTGCTGATGAACACACTTGAACACCAAAAATCCTAATCGAATTAGGATTCTCATCATCAAACACGTCGTGAACTCGAGAAGGGGTTGCATCGTGACGAAAGGTAGATCGGGATTTAGAGAATGGGAGAGGGCAGCAAAATGTAGGGTTGATTATCAGTCAGAATTCCAGTTTGGGCACCATAGGGGAGGGTCTAGAATCCTTATTGGATAATTACTTGATCATTGAGTAGATATCTCTAAGATTTGACTTTTAAATCTTTACACTTTAACCCTTTTAAGTTTTATAAGTTTCTATTAATTTTTTTAAATACAAATAAGTTAACAAACTAGATCACTAATACTCTCTTTTTTCGGTTATTACTTAAATTGTGCTTGTGTGTAACCCAAAATGATCATACTATTAATAATAATGTTACCAACTGTTGTAATTGTAGACACTATTTCCAACACTACAATTTAACTTACATCAATTGGAGCGTGTAAAAATATTTAAGTACAAGAGTCATTTTGTGTGGTTTATCGGATGTAATGCCCGTGTTTCTAGGCTAGGCATTTATATTGACATTATAGTCTAGGTTAACCTTTGTAACTCATTTTGAAGAAATGAAAAGGAATTATGTGAATATTATGTGAATATTATGTGAATTAGGTGTTTTATGCTTAATTATTAGGGCTTAATTAATTAAGAATAAAAATGAGCGTCAAAAATTAAATTTTAGATAAAGCCGATATCTATTAAGAAACTTGTAGTGGGCGTGACAAGGATTACAGATATATAAAGAATGCCGAAATCCGAGTTATAACGAAGAAGTTATGACCTGTCGAAGTTTCACGACAAACCGGCACGGGCCGAATGTCGTAAAAAGTGAGTTTTCGATAAACTACTTTTTGGCCTTAGTGATCTAAACGAAACTTGTAGTGTTCGTTAAACCGAGAGTAGGTATAAAAAGAACGCCCAAATATGACTTCGTATGAGGAAGTTATGATTTTTCGAAGTTTCAGCTTAGCAGTAGACAGCTAAAAACTCGAATTTTAGATCGAGTGATTTTTAGCCGACACGACCTAAATGAGAATCGAAGGTCTCGTCATTAGTAGCACAACGGTAAAAAGTCTGACGAAAACGGACGTAGGATGAAGAAGTTATGAATTTTTAACGGATTTCCTGTCCCGGTCTGTTAAAAATAATAATATAAAAATTAAAGTCAAAATTAGCCGACAAAGTCTAAACGAAAGTTGTAGAGCGTAATTTTACCTACGCGTGCATATAAAGAACGTCAAAAACGGAGCTCGTATGCGAAAGTTATGGATTTTTAGAAGTTTTGGCGCGAAAACCGAGAAAATTCGCATAGTCACGAGTTGCCACGTCACCCTCGCCTCGCATGTGCCACGTGTCCGAAATGGGTGAGTCATGCGAAGCCACGTGTCGGATTCTGATTTGACCGAAGGGAGGCCCAATCTGAGGCTCGCATATGGACCGAACCTCGCACACCTCGCATCCGAGCCTCACACATGGATCAGTAGACCGCGGTCCAATCAGCAGCTGCCACCGAGGCCCTCGCACGTGCTGCCACCTGTGCACCTTCGCCTGCGGACCCCACCACCGGAGCCGAGTTTGGACCTGCTATAAATAGAAGGCTCATGCGAGCCTTCTCGGATACTTTTGAGATTTTACCATCTTTCACTCCTTTCTTCATATTTTCTTCATCTTAGAATCCTCCGAAGCCCCGGTATCGATTATAAGCCCCGGAATACGCCACGAAGAGCCCGTAAAGCCCGGAAAATTTATCTTTTCGGTTTCGAAAGCCGACTTTTGCAGAGCCCGGTTTCTCAATAAAACTCCCGGTTTTATTAGAAACGAACGTTTTAGGAAACGAATTGCTGCCCGATTATCATCAAAACATATGAGTGTATAGTCACTTTCATTTTACACATAGATATGAAGTATTTACCTTATAATACGTGCTATGTGTAAATATATTAATTGTTTATTTGAGGTGACTGTTGAGTTGATGTTTTATACAAGTTTTAAACTGTATATGTATTTTTATCTACAAATATGTTGGGTAGAACATGGGTAGATAGTGATGTGTGATAAAATAAAAGTGATGAGAGGCCTCGTTGTGATTTGTGATTCAGTCATCTAGCGGAGTTTGGATGACGACCACGGACTTTCTAGACAGTCCAGTGGGAAACATTAGCAGGTCCGCAACCTGTAGGTGTTAATGAACTTGGGTGTTTATTCGCTGTACTCCATCCCCCTCATGGTTGCCTTTAGGACATGTATGGCTGAGGAAACCCCTTAGCAGTAGTGTCCATCCCGATGATATTCTTTAGGCTAGGTCCCTTGTGAAAAGTGTTTAGGGACGTAAAGTGAGGATAACGGGAACGGGTAATCAGGGTTAATGTTGATTGGTGAACTTAATAAGTTTATTATTACTGTGGGTTGAAAACCCTATATGCTCACCAGGCTCCCAAGCCTGACCCACTCAGTTTTTTTATGATTACAGGTAGTGGACCCCAAGCATAGTCGGAGGATGACATGAGATTTTTGGATTATAGGCCAGTAGTTGTAAATAACTGTAGTAAGGCTTATAATGTCTTGTTTATGCTTTTGATCTGTATCGGAACATGACATCCCGAGGTTTTGATATATATGGAAAATATATACCTTCTTAATGAAGGGTTTTGATAAACTTTTATCATATGTTGTTTGGGGACCAATTCCGTAACATCTTTTGAAAAGATTTCTCTGATTTTATTTTAAAAAGCATAAATTAAATCGGTCTTTTCTGGCCGAGAAATTAGGGGATGTCACAGTTGGTATCAGAGCATTAGTTTAAGCGAACTAAGAAATTATAGGATTTCTAGACTTAAACTTAGAATGCTAAGTGATGATTGTGAGATGAGTGTCTACCATATTTTAGACACGAGCACTAGTTTATTTTAGGAAAGATGCCCAAAATGCCCTTATGTGCTAAATGTTATGTG